TTTATAGGGGCCAGGGATTTGGCTCAGTGGCACCACGCCTGCCTCCCAAGTGCAAGGTCCCGAGTTCGATCCCAGGTACCAAAAAAAAAGCTTTTATAAATCACTGTGTGATTGTTAATCTTGTTTGTCAACTTAATGAGATTGAGAAATGCCTAGGAAATAAGTAAAGCACATTTCCAGATGTCTTTGAGGTGTTTCCAGAGGCATTTGGCATGTGGGACAACAAACTGATAGGAAAGACCTGCCCTGAATGTGGGTGGCACTATTCAGTAGGCTGGGAGCTTGGGTGAAACCAAAACAGAAAGAGGAAACCTCAAGTACAGGCTCTCTTACTCTCTCTGCTTTCTGGCTGCCATGATTTGAACAGCTTTCCTCTGCCATGTCCTTCGGCAGTGATGTTTCTGACTAGAAGAAGTCCAAAAGTAATGGATCCAGCCAACTATGGACTGAAACTGTGAGCCAAAAAAACCTTTTCTCCTTTAAGTTGGTTTTTCTCAGATATTTTGTCACAGCAGTGGAAAGCTGACTAATATAGATGATAAAAAGATAACCAATAAAAAATTTGCAAAAGATGCTGGGCATGATGGCACAGGCCTGTAATCTCAGCACTCTAGAGTCTGAGGCAGGTGGATTGCAAATTTGAGCCCAGCCAGGGCAATTTAGCAATTAGCAAGCCCTATCTCAAAATTTTAAAAAGAGGATGGGGATGTAGCTTAGTGCAAAGGCCATGCGTTTAAATCCCCAGTAGTGTGGGGGAAAAGAAGGCAAAAAATAGGAACAGACCAAAAAATATCTACAAGTGAACAGTAAGTGTATGAAAATAATGTTCACCGTCTTTAGGCATTAGGAAAATGCAAATCAAAACTACTTTGAGAGTCCATCTTAGCCAGAATGGCTGTTATCATGAATACAAAAAACAATGAATATTTTGATGTGTGTGGGGAATAAGGAACCCTCCTACATTGTTGATGGGAATGTAAACTGTAGTACAACCACTGTGGAAATCAATATGGAGATTCATCAAAAAATAAAAATAGGGCTGGGGATTTAGCTCACTGGTTCTGCCGCATGCCTCGCAAGAGCAAGGACCTGAGTTTGATCCCTGGTACGAAAATAAATAAATAAATAAATAAAATAGAAATACCATCAAGTTGGGCATGGTGGCACATGCCTGTAATCCCAGCACTTGGGAGGCTGTGGCAGGAGGATCACTGGGAGCTCAAGGCCAGTCTGGGCTACACAGTGAGTTCAAGGACAACATAAACTGCCTAGTGAGACCCTGTCTCATGAAACCAAAAACAAAAGAAAGAAAAATATCATTTGATCCAGCGATACCTCCTGGGTATGTTTCCAATAGAATTAAAGACAGCATACTATAGTGCATATCCATGCATACCCATGTTTATAGCCACATAATTCACGATAGCTAAGCTCTCAGAGAGCTTAGATGCCCATCAATAGATGAATAGAAAATGAAAACATGGTATATATACACTATGAAATATTATTCAGCCACAAAGAAGAATAAAATAGGCCGGGAATTTAGCTCAGTGGTTCCACTGCCTGCCTCGCAAGCACAAGGACCCGAGTTCGATCCCTGGTACCAAAAAGAAGAATAAAATCATGTCACTTGCAGGAAAATGGGTCGAACTCAGGACCATTATGCTAAGCAAAATAAGCCAGACTTGGAAAGTTAGCTATTATATGTTGCCTCTTGTGTGAGAAACCTTACATGAAAACTAAATATGGAGTGATAACAGGAAGCTAGAAAGTAGACTTGGGAGATAGGGAAGGACAGTGAGGAAGGGGAGGAAGCAGAGGGGAAGGTAGTGGGATTGAAAAGTAATCAAGATAGGTTAAATGCATGTACCAAATTGCCAAAGGAAACCTCACCATTCTGTATTACTCATATGGACTAGTGACAAAGAAAAAAATGTGATGTTGTGCAAGTAATAATGAGAACTACAATCTGAGAACCATTAGATTTGATTAATTCCCAAGTAATTACTTTTTATCATAAAATGATGATTTGTAGATTACTCATATAATATTTTAGCATTTTTCATTAAAATTTGTGCCCCCTTAAATATTTTAAGGAGTATTTGTGTTTAGTCATATAAATATTATATTAAAATGTTATTTTAGGCTCAGAGTGTAGCTCAGTCATAAACCACATGGTTAGCATGCATAAGACCCTGGTTTCAATCCCCACCATCAAAAGCAAAAACAAAACCATGTGTTCATTAGTAGGTTAATTAGTAAGTGGACAAAGATTTATAATGATATAATTTATTCTAATAGATATTCTTTTTTAACACAAGGAATTCAATTTAATATTGAAAATTTTTTGAGACAAGGTCTTTCTGCATGGTCCAGGCTGGCCTTGGACTCATGGCAGTCCTACTGGGTCAGCTTCCCAAGGGCTGGGATTACAGGCAGGTATCACCGCACCCAGTGACATGGTAATATTTTGCATGGAATTAATGAAATTGAATTCATTAAAATATGGTTTGAGATGGATACTCATAATGGCATTTGGTAAACTGGATGATTTCAGTTTGCACTTATATTCCTCTTTCAGTTAAAGTCCTGGTTTTCATCCAGTGCAGTGAATGTGTTTAGTTGTGTAATAGGCCCCTAATGTCATTCATTTTAAAATTCTACATATTTTGTCAATTAGAACTTCTACTTTGTGACATAAAGTGATCATAAGTAATTTGATCATAACATGAAATTATCTGTGAACTTTCAAAAGTGCTGCAGGGGAAAGGCTGGAACTAAGGTATTGGTTGCATGCTTGAAATACATGCTTGGAGGATGTAGAGAAAAGGGAACCCTTGTATACTATTGGTGGAAATATAAAGATTGTGGAAAACAGTATGGAGGTTACTCAAAAAGTTAAAAATAAAACTTGATATGATACACAATACTATTACTGGGTATTTTTCCAATAGAAATAAAATCACTGTCCAGGAGATACCTGTACACCCATGTTTACTGTAGCACTATTCACAGAAGCCAAGAAATGGAAACAACCTATGTGTTCATCAGCTCATGAATGGATTAAGAAAATGTGGTACAGGGCCAGGGATTTAGCTCAGCAGTTCCAGTGCCTACCTCGAAAGCACAAAGTCCTGAGTTCAATCCCTGGTACCAAAAACAAAACAAAACAAACAAAAAAAGAAAATGTGGTACATTTCACAGTGGAATACTATTCAAGCATTAAAAGAAATGGAATACAGTCCTTTAAAACAACATGAATACAAATGGAAGTTATGTTGAGTGAAATAAGCCAGGCATAGAAAGACAAGTATCACATGATTTCACAATCTGGATCTTGTAGAAGTTGAGAATAGAATGGTGGTTACCAGAGGCTGAGGAAAGTGAGTAATGGGGAAGGAAGAATGGCGAAAAGTTGATTAGTAGGTACCAAGATATAACTGGGGGGAGAAATTCTGGTGTTCTGTTACAAAGTAGGATGACTAAAGGTAATGGTAGTATACTGTTTTTAAAAAGCTAGAAGAAAAATTTTGAGTGTTCTTATCATGAAGAAATTATAGCCAAGTGTGGTGTTGCATGCCTGTAATCCCAGCTAGTTCGGAGGTTGAGGCAGAAAAATTGCAAGTTCAAGACCCGCCTAGCAACTTACAAGACCTTGTCTCAAAAAAAAAAAAAAAAGGGCCAGGGATTTAGCTCAGTGGTTCCACTGCCTGCCTTGCAAGCGCAAGGTCCTAAGTTCGATCCTGACATGAGTTTGAGGCCAGCCTGGCCTACATGGTGAAACCCTGTCTCAAAAAACCAAAACAAGAAAAAAGCAAAGGGCTGAGGTGGTACTTCAGTGATAGAGCACTGCCTAGCATGTGTGTGTCCCTGGGTTCAATCACTAGCGATCTGTAGTACCAAAAAGAAAAAAGCTTGTGGAGAGATAGGTTTACCTCATTTCAACATTACATTGTCTATATATGTATTGAAGGTACCTATAAATATACAAATATGTACAATTTTTATGTATCAAAGCTTAAAATTTCTAGAAAGTACAAAATTAATCTATATTGATTACAAACAATAGAGGAAAGACTAGAGAGAAGAGTTTTCCTGTGAATAGGGGAAGGGATAGAAAGAATAGATAAGAAACAGATACAAGGAAATTTTTGTTTGGGAAACACTGCCCTAAAATAGAGCTAAGCTTCTCAAACTTTTCCTGGCAAAAATGGAAGAAAAGAAGGGAAGGAAGTAAAAAAACATACAAGAAACTTGTTGAAAATGCAAATTCAGAACCAGGGATGTAGCTCAGTGGTGCCACGGCTGCCTGACAAGTGCAAGTCCTGATTTCGATCCCTGGTACCAAAGAAAAAAAAAAGAAAATGCAAATTCAGCCAGGTGTAGTGCACACCTGTAATCCCAGCACTCTGGCAGGAGGATTGCTGCAAGTTCAAGGCCAGCCTGGACTAAATAGCGAGACCCTGTCTTGAGACACCAAACGAAACCAAAACAAAACCCACAACCGAAATGAAAATTCCTGGGCCCTCCCAAGCTTTCTCCTTCATGTCTTGGATGGCACCCCGAAATCTGTTTTTTACTTTTTGAGGACATCCAATGCACAGGTCTGAGGGCATTCTAAAGTTTCCAGTCACTATTCCAAGAGAAAAAGGGAAAGTAGAAATTGAAGGGAAGATCATCTTAGATTTGAGGGCAGATCTAAGTGGAGGACATCAGGTAACCATGGGACTGAGGGATCAAGAACATGTGCAGGAGAAGTCTTCCAGGGCTGTCCATGGCTTGTAGGACACCATCTTTGTGAAGTGGATCATGGGTAACCCCTTGGAAAGTGACTTGAGAGCAACTACATTCATTTACTTTCAAATTGTGGGGAGAATTCAGGGTCATTATGCATGCCACTAAAAATTGGCCCGCATGCCATCAGGTGCCAGCCCTTGCCCTATGTGTTGCTCATGGACTCACAGCAACTGTAAACATTCATTGATTTTTCTCTTTTGTAGTTAGAGGAAAACATAACCTATAGACCATCTTCTGGCAGAAGATGATAGATTTGGATCAGAAACGGGAGGTGTTGGAAGCCAGGAATCAAAAGTGAAGAAATTCTGCAAACCCTTGGGTGAAAAAGGTGACAAGAGATTATTTCTTTACTTGTTCCATATTATCATTAAGTGGTTATTTAAAATGAGTGCATGGATTTTAGGTCCATGTACCTGCACAAGTTGTGGGGAGGAGGTAGAACAGGAATAAGCTGTTGAGAATGGATCTTGAATACACATTTCTCTGTAGGCTACTTTAGTTAATACTTACTGTCATCCCCTTGCCTCCATTCCTTCTTTTTTTGAGACAGTCTAGTTCAGACTGGCCTTGAACTTCTTTCTGGTAATCCTCCTGTCTCAGCCTTCTGAGTACTTAGATTACAGGCATGTGCATTCACGCTTGGCTATATTCCCTTTCACATAAGTAAAATTCCCTCCTTTCTAGGGCTGAGCTTACCTTGAAGTACCTCGTTAATACTTATAGCTAACATTTCTTGAATCCTTATTATTGCTGGGCACCATGGTGTTGTACTCTCCCTGCTTGCTTGCTTGCTCGGTGTCTCTGTCTGTCTGTCTCTCCCTTTCCTTTTCTCTTTCTTTTTGGGGTACCGAAAATCGAACTCAGGACTTTGAGCTTGCCAGGAAGGCATGGTGCTGCTGAGCTACATCCCCAGCCCTTTCCTCTGTCTTGATAGGTTCTCACTATGTAGTTCAGGCTGGCCTCAAACTCACAGCACTCTTCCTGCCTGAGTGCTGGCATTACAGGTGTGTGCCACCACTCTGGCTTCCTTGCATTATTTCTTTCCCATCTCCAAGTGATCCAGCAATGTAGATGAAACATCTGAGGTTCCAATAGGTTAGACAGCTTGCGTAAGACCTGACAGCTAGCCAGTGGCAGAGGTTCTGCTTTCCAACTGTGAACTTTATCCTTGCTACGTTCTTTCCTTTCTCAGAAGAACAAGGTGAAGCCACACTTGTACCTCCTCCAGGGCACCAGAACAGATAACCCAGCTTGGCAGACCTCTTTTGGAAGGTTGTCAGTACCTAGGATTTAAAAGCATTAAAATTTTCATTATGAGATTGTTGAAAATATGAGAAGAGAAAGAAGTCCCTATTCTATTGCTGACTTTACATAACTATGATTAATATATTAATGTTTTCACCTCTAGGTTTTTCCGTATATGTGTATGTTTCCCTATAGTATATATATATTCATTAATATCCTTATATTTTATACAATATATGAATATAAATTTCAAATATTAATGACTTTCAAATGATAACATGAAATTTCTAGAAGTTTAAAGTTAAAGAAAACTCAACAAATGATCAAATGAATGAATGCCTGCTTACACAGATGGAATATTTGTGCCTCTGTAAATTCGGGCTTTTTCTATTTCAGAAAGAAATCATTGTTCTAGTTTAAATTTTGAATGACACTTCAGTGTCATAAACAAAGAATATACTCTGCAAACTCAAGTATGTTCTACCTATCATTCTAGGTCTTACTCAGATTTACATCCCATTTAATCTTTTCTAAATTTCCAAGCCCACAATGATCTTTTTCTGCTCTAATCTTCTCAAGCATTTTTCTGGCAATTCCTCATATTTAACATTCACTATGTTTTATATCTTCTAGTTATACTTTTCTTTGTTCTCTTTTCTTACACCTCTTTCCATCCACGATATCTAACCCAGTGCTTTTTTTAGTATCAGTTTTATTTCTTAGCATTTTCATATTCAAATCAAGTTATTATTGGTCATTTTCTCAAGATTCTAGAATGACTAAACTTTTTGTCTCTTTCTCTTCTTTTATAGGTTCCTATCACTGTCACCATGCCAGAAATGACAGAGCATGAGACTCCTACAAAAAAGCAGCATAGGTATGTATTCCCAGTCCAGAAATAATATATATACAGTTTGGGCTGGTAAGAAGCAGAAGTAGTTCCCATTTAGCTAAGTAGACAGTCCTTAGTGCACTTTCATGTAGATGCCTAGAAAATAATTAATCTCCAAAAATATGTGTGGATAAACATAAATAATTTACCTGTCCTTCTTATTCTACTGGCAATCTAACAAGATTGACCATCCGTAGTTAAAGTAGTGGATCATGATAATCTGTACTCAGTGTTTAGTCTATGTTTTACTCAGTGTTTTTCTAACAACGTTTTCACTAGTATTCTGTAGATCCTGAAACATTTAGTCTATAGTCAGTTCAAATCGACATTTTGCAGCATTATAATCCTTTAATGGCAATATGCCTATCTATAAAATACTGCTTTAAAAAAAAAGAAATCTTCTAAATGTCTGATATTTTGGGCAATATCTCTGCTTAGAATTGCATGGCTAATGCCTTTGCTAATATTAAAATTACTGTTCTCTTTCCGTACCAAATAGCTATTGGATGGCTCTCTCCTTCTATGTTTGTGTGTGTGTGTGTGTGTGTGTGTGTGTGTGTGTGCATGTGCATGTATATATGTGTGTGTGTATTACTGGAGATTGAATCCAGGCCCTTTCCACTGAGCTACATCCCCAGTGCTCATTTTATTTTTTATTTTGAGACATCTCACTAAGTTACTAAATTGTCCAGCCTGAACTTGAACTTGTAATCCTTCTGTCTCAGCTTCCCAGAGTACTGGAATTACAGGTATGGACCACCATATCCAGCTAGAAGACTAGTAGATGATCATTTAAGAGAATTTAGGAGTTTGGACAATCTAAGTGTACAGAGACAAAAGATGGCTCAAGCACCAGTTGTTAGTGCTTAAGTATTTTGTTGGCCAACACATTTTCCTCCCTGGGGGACTGCAAAGTTACACTCACTCCTGCCTGGGTGCCAGGGCAAACATCAGAAACCACCTGCTTGGCACATACTTTGAGAATGTGCTAGCATCTAAATTACATTTTTTAAATAGCAAAGGTTTCAGTTTTAGTTATTGCTTCCATTTTCAACCCATGATTTCTGGGTATCAAAAAATCTAGGGCCAGGGATTTATCTCAGTGGTTCTACTGCCTGCCTTGAAAGCACAAGGTCCTGAGTTTGATCCCTGGTACAAAAAAAAAAGATCTAGAATTATGGTTACTTCCAGAAACGGGGTCTTCTAAATTTATATGGAATTATCATTATGTTTTCATACCACTAAGAAATTTTTCTTCAGGTGACTTCTTATTGGTACAACAAATACAAATTCATGAAACTTGTTTTTATGGTTCTCAAAATGCAAAGATGCTTTCCTGTTATCTTTTATCTACACTTTTCTTTTTTTTCCAGAAAGAAAAACCGGGAAACACACAATGCAGGTATATACAGTAATTTAAATTTTACTTATCATCTTTTTTGCTTTCAAAATGAAATTATGCCACAGTTGATTATAAGTTTTTTATAAGCCTCTAATTATTATTTGTTGAATTTTATTTTTTAAAATTTATTTTTATTAGTACATTTTTGCCATACATAATGATCACATTCATCATAAGGAATTTGTACCTATACATAATATGTCTTAATTTTTCTTTTTTTCTCATTTCCCTCCCTTCCCTTCGTCTTTCTTCCCTTCCCCATAAGAAAGCTTTGTTTCCATTTTTCCCCTTCCAGTCTTTTTTTTAAATCCCTTTCCTCTGCCTTTCCTCCCCTACTTGTTCCCTTTTCCATTTGAACATGTTCTTCCTACTTCCCAATATCTTCTGTTTTGATCATTATAACCCTTTGAGTTTCTCATACAAGAAAAAGAATGCAATATTTAAATTTGTGTGTCTGATTTATTTTACTTAAAATTATGGTCTCAAGGTGCATCCATTTACCTAATGACTTAAGTTTATCCTTCTTTTTGGCACAGTAGTACTCTATTGTATATAAATACCACATTGTCTTTTTCTGTTCATCTGTTGATAGGCATCTGGGCTGTTTCCCATATTTAGCTTTTATAAATTGTGCTGCTGTAAACATGGGTATATGTCTATCACTGTGGTATGATACTTTTAACTCTTTTAGAAGACACCTAGAAGGGGCGCAGCTGAGTCAAATGGAACCTCTAGTTAGAGTTTGGAGGAGTTTCCATGCTGATTTTCATAGTGGTTGTACCAATTTACATTCCTGCCAACAATGGAGAAGAGCTCCTTATTTCCCACAGCCTTGCCAGCATTTGTTATTGGCTGATTTTTCGATGATAGCCATTCTTTCTAGAGTGAGATGGAATCTCAGTGTTGTTTAATTTGCATTTCTTAAATGGCCTGTGATATTGAACATTTTTTTCATATATTTATTTGCTGTTTCTACTTCTTCATCTGAGAGATGTCTGTTCATTTCAGATGCCCATTTTTTAAAGAAAATTTATTTTATTAGTAAGTGTTTGCAATTCGTGCAGTTTACAATCATCTTGGGGAGTGGTTATGTGTACATACCACAGATTGTTTCTTTTTTTCAATCCTCTTCCCCTTCCCTCCTCCTCCAATTCTCTATCCCATTTTTCATTCTTGTTATTATTAATCTTAGCTCATGTTATAGCATATAATATTTATATTAATTCAGCTTATTAGGTTCCTGTACATGGCATATCTTTATTTCTATGTATTTCCCCTTCCCCTCCTCCTTACCCTTCACACTTTTTCCTTGGACCACTTTCCTATTGCAAGAGATCCACCTCCTAGTCCCCTTCTGCCCACCCTTTAGTATTCTCTTTGTTTGTACTTTGCCTCACTCAAAGGAGAGATACCCTTTTCATTCCTAATTGCATGAGTTTGAATCTTTCCTTTTTTTGATAAGGTTGGCTAAGGGTTTATCAGTTTTATTTAATATTCCAAAGAACCAACTCTTTGATTCATTGATTCTTTGTATGGTTTTCTTAGTCTCAGTTGGACTAATTTCTGCTCTGATCTTTGTAATTTCCTCCCTTATATGATCTTTGGGCTTGGCTTGTTCTTTTTCTAGATGTTTGAGGTTCAACTTTAGGTTGTTTATTTGAGCTCGTTCTATTTTCCTGATGTGAGAATTCACCACTATAAATTTCGCCCAAAGGACTGCTTTCCTTGCATCCCATAGTTGTTGTATATTGTATGAAAATTATCATTTAATTGTAGATACTATTTAATTTCATCTGTGACTCATTGGCTGTTCAGGAGGGTGTTAATTTCCATGTGTTCATGGAGTTTTTTGTTTATTTGTTTATGGAGTTTTTGTGGTTTCTTTTGCTGTGGATTTCTAATTTCATTGCACTATGGTCTGATAATATGTTTGGGATAATATCAGTTCCTTTGCATTTACATAAGCATGTTCTATGGGCTAGTATGTGGTCTGTTTTGGAGAACATCCCATGTTCAGCTGAGAAAAATGTGTATTTTTTTTTTTTTTTTTTTG